CCCCCGTCCCTCGGCACAAATGGATGGCTGTGGCCCAGTGGTTTAGTCACTGTCACCGGCTTGCTTTGAATCCTATGGCCCGAGGTTCGAGATCCACCATCCAACTTTTTTGATTGACGGTTCTGCTGTCTTCCAGTTCAATAGCGCGCATGACCTCACACAGCCTTACGGGGCTTACACTCCCGGTTTCCATCACTCAGGTTTTCGTGACTATAGGGTCCAATACAAGTGTGTCATGAAAAAGATGTTTACCCAGACTGATCGTATAGCAATTAGTTATAGACGAAGAGGGTGTGTGGACGATTGGCGTCCGTATTGATCTATCTGCTTGTATATTATTTGGTGGCCGGAACAAATGAGGTTCGAGCAGCTTGACGTTGTCAAACCTTCCGTTCAGGTCGCGCTGGCCAACTATTAAACTAGTTGTCCAAGTATTATCACGCCAAGGACAACACTGGACACCTATCCACAATGCAATTCACTCAGTCTGTTTACATAGCGCGCGACCGCGCTTTCCTTAATTACGCATCATCTAGTCCCAACGTCATCTGTTCAGTTGCCTTTTTCTGCACCAAATGGACAGTCGAATCGACCGGATGGTTGCAGTGATCGTTTAATCTGTTACGGTCGGTGAAAATCTCGCGGCGATCACTCATTTATCTGATTTCCCCCGTTCAGAGGACAAGATAGCCTGTGTAATTCATGTGAAACGTTCCCAGGTGCCACTTGCAATTATATTCACTGATCAACGGTGAGAAAAAGATGTGTTCACTTTTTGTTTCAATTTTTCGTCACCGATATTTTCATTTCTGGTCTTAGGAAGTGCACAGTAAGTCATTTATTCGAATTCACGCAATCCGGTAATTCACTCATCCTTTTGGACCTCGTTCAGTTGGATCGAGTGTTTCTACCTTGCGCATATATATGTCCATGTTCCTTTCTCTCTTGTCTGCCCTTTTCGCGGTTAGGGCGAATCTGATCTCGAAAATGAAGATCCTAAAGACAATACGGTGGTCAACGATCGAGATGCCCTGAACGAATGCCTATTGGACATGCTCACTCTCTGTCCACGTCTCTCGTTGGTAGCTTTCGGTGGTCATTGTGTATACCTATCTCTACTCACCCTGCTGACTATGTGTCGTCAGCGCGCTCGGCGTCTGAGTGTCCAAGACGAGTGTGCTGACGAATTCACACTTCTCATTCAGCGGGACTGTTGTCAAATGATCGGTCCGAGGCCATCTCACGTACCGGCCACTGTCCAGTTATGGTATTCCACAGTTTTGGAAGCCGGTAAAGATCCGGCACGTCGTGCGCTGGCCGCAGAACGATGCATCTCAGCTGCTCTGAGCCAACCGCGTTGGCATTTTCTATCCGCTGGTGAATTTGAAAGTCAGGTGTCTGACTTCTTTGTCTGATTATTTCTCCCACTAATTCGTTCGACTCAAGATTTTAAGCATTTTTACCCCGCGACTAGGGGCGTAGCATGATTTTATGGATCCAGATACATTGTGCCTTCTTGTTTGGTCATGCTTTTTTCTTATTCCGAAATTCTACTGTCTCCGACGGTCAGTTGTTTTTTCTTCTTCATATCTTTTATTTCCTTTATCACATTTTGCTTTTCCTGCACACGAAATATTTCGCTCTATCTTTCTCCCTGTTGCTCATAATTCTGTTTCTAGTCGTGTTATGACTCATCTGTTCCGGTTGGAACGCATTTATGCCTCACAGTCTTTCATAGCTTAGTTATCTGCCAAAGTTGATAACTTTTTGAATGCATTTGTTGCAACTTTTTTTAAACCATCATTTTCTCTGCGCATTTTACCCGTATCCAACTTTGTGCCTTGTATTTACTTCATGCTACGCCTGACTACCGTTCTCCTCATCCGTGTGCGTTTGATGGTTGGACTGCTTCCCGCTCCGCATTTGTCTCCCAATTCAGGCATTGCCTACTAATGAGTAGTCAAATTGTGCACGTTGTTTAACTTCAGGCTGTTGAAAAATGATCTACCTGGTGCCAAAAATCGTACTCACTGGGTCACAACAGAGCTATCTTGGTGAATCAATTAAAAATATTCTAACTAGAGAGACGGTCTTTCAGTTTGTTTCCTGAAAAATACAATGGGAAAGACCAATTATTCACCACCACCTCTGATTTTCTGATAATTGAATCTTACTATCAAGCAAACTCTTCACCTCTGACGTGTTTTGCGTAACGAGGATCGCTCTTTGCAGTCGCGCACGACCACAACCTTTGCCTGAGAGTATGGGTATTTTTTTGACGTATGGCCTCTCGCAATAAAGAGTTCCATTGATTCGTGAAAGACATCGTGACCAGTTCATCCCTAGCCCCGTCACTATAAAGGACCACTACCACGCCTTGTTTCTTTACTTCAGTCAGTCATCTGCGCACGGACACCCGTGTTTTCGGACTTGCCATTCTGTACTACAATCCCGGTATTCTTCAAGGCTTCTTTCTCGAAGTTTACTTATACCCTCATTATTTTCTAGTTGCTCGGAAAGTGGTGTTCGACAGGGTTACCCGTTTCTATTTAACTTCGTGATATATTTAATTCTTGGAACCGCCCTATCCTCGTGTGAAGACAGCGGTATCGAGTTACTCCCAGGTGGCGGACTGTCTGATCTAGAGTACGCATATTATATTGTGCTGCTAAGCAAAGATCCAGGTAAGTTGCAAGTTTTTCTGGATAGTTTGAGTTCTAATGTATCGCTAATGTATACCTTTTGCACCTCAAAAGTGTAAAATGTTGCTCCAAGAGTGGTTTGGTTCAGCCCCAACTTCACCCTAACTGGGGAATTAGTAGAGGAAGTAGAGAAGTTTTACTATCCGGGCATCTATATCTCACCCGACGAACGCATCACAGATGAAGTGTCGGCGCGCATACAAAAGGCTCGTTTGGCATTTGCCAACTTTAGACATTTATGGCCCCGTTGCGACCTCCGGCTCTGTGAAGGGTTGAGCATATACTGCAGCAGTTCGGCCAGTGCTGCTCTGCGGTGTAGGCTTGGTCACTACGGGAACAGAATAAAAATAGATTGTCGGTGTTCGAACACCGCTGTTTACGTAGCATTGCACGTGTCTGGTGGGGTAACCGGACTGGCAATGCGGAGGTTATGCGTAGAGTTTTAGGTAATCGCGGTCGTCCACTGAAGCAAGTGATTGACCTGCATAGATTACGTCGGTTGGGACATGTGTTACGCATGTCNCAAATAGGAGCAGGTAGTCAGCCTTCGTAGACTACGCTGGTTACGTATGTCACCTAAAAGGGTTGCCACGGTGAGCGATGTTTGCTGAGGCCGGTAGCGGTTGGAAAATGGTCAAGGGTAGTCAGACATGAGGGTATAAAATCCTCAATTAGGAGACTAGGTCACGTAGGCCCCATTAGGCTCCCTGGCTGGGGACCCTAAAATAATGTTCACCGATAGTTAGAGACACTGAGTGATTTGGCTGGGTATCGCAAACACTGGTGCTCGTGCATCTACTCTCTATTCTCCTAATATCAGGCTATATGAATTCTCTATCGTGCTCTTGAATTTGCTTTCAACATTCCAATTTTCATTCTGCTCTTATATCCAAATGGACACCAAAGACAGCAAACAAAACCGGCGCACGAAAGTGCATAGTAATGGTTGTAAAAACTAAAACAAACTCAAATTGGATAGGTCATGCTTTTTATCAACACCGCTCCACTTGCCGGTCATAAAAGGTCCACACGTACACACATTGGTCTCGGTTTTATAGGTGAATCGTGAACTATGAACATCTCCCACAGTTCCGGAATCCCCGTCTTCCTCGATCCGAAAGTAGGTTTTAGATCACTGGATACTACCTGACTTGCTCACTGAGTCTGTTTACCCGAGGTATCACAGAAATCCATTCGAGTACCTTGTCCTTCGTAGTTAAACAGTGACAGTCTCACACTCATGTTCTGCCAGAAACAAGTTACATCATGTATGAGTGTTAATGCAATTTCTAAGTAAATCCGATTTCTGGTTGGTGGGAAACGCTCAGATGAGAGCTTTCGGCTAACCAAAATACGGACCACAAGGTGGCGCGGATAGGAAAACTACATTGCGTCGTCGTCGTCCTCATGCCCCTGGTGAACGAGGTCTAATGTCCCAAATGCCTTGGTTAGCGGATGCACGTATTGGTGTGATTCGTGTATTCTTTCTTGGTCGGTTTTATGCCAGCCGCCCCCCCCTCCTACCCACGGAAACTATTGGGAGTTCATCGAATCGGTTCCGTGAGTCGACTATGGCATAAACAACGGAGCGGAGCTATTCATACTTTGTGAAAAATATGTGACACTGGCTTATCCCGGGGAATTTGCACGAGAACGATGGTGATAACCGGACAACTGATAGATTTCGGGATTGCAAACGAGTGTCAATAGTTGAGGAATTGACCCGGAATTTGCACAAGGTAAGGTGTTTGCTGATGAGTAGGATCAGGCTATGCTTGTGTGACAAACTCACTGGACCGATATGTGATCAGGTTTGTGGTTGCTTAGCCGTGTATCACTCTGTTGTTTACGGTAGCAAAAGGTTTATAGTTGGGTTTAAGATTCGCGTCGCCGTCTCGGCGCGTTGTAAACACTCGAGCCGTTTCGAATGTCCTGTGTATCAGTTGCCAACGCATACAGAGTCTTGTGAAGCAATTGTGATACTCCTCATATACCTGGTTCCCAAAGAGAGAGCTATCAGTGTATTGAGCTTCATTCCTTGTTTAGGGTGCTGCATACTCCACCTTCGAAAAGTAAATAAGCTGAATGGATATCTTGAAGTGATTACTCATGGGGTTTTAGTGCCGAATTCTTGTTAATCAAATGATCCGAGGCGTGCAAATTTGAATCTCCCTGCTGTGCCCAACCGTTTCCATGTTTAATGCGCCTCAATTCATATTTTATACAATGTAAAGTAAAGTGAGGTACTGCTCGCAATTCTAGTGATTAGTATGTTTGGAGCGCGCATAAGGAAGCGGTTGGCGTATTCTCACAACAATAAACACAACATCCCGGAGCATATCAGTGGACTCAGTATGCCAGAAATTGAACATGCGAACCAAGCGTTCATTCTAACCCCCCTGACCCGGAGACTTTCATGAAACCAATTTTAGTTTCAGTTTGTATGACCATTAACTACCGGCTGTGATCACCTCCAGGTTCTCAGCCAGAGAACCTATCGCTAACCGGGGTCCTGGTTAGGGTTTCCATACCCACATACTACGTCTTAGTTTGACCACTCTTATCATTTTCCACTCGCCACCTGCCTCGGCAAACATCGCGCGCTGGGGCAACCTATTTAGTGACACCAAAACATGTCCCAGCCTATGTAATCTATGGAGGTCGACCACTTGTTCCAGCATTGCTTCTCCGGTTGCCCGGCCTGATTCGTGCAATGCTAATCAAAAGCCGATAGTTTATCTTAATCCTGTTTTCTCAATGGCCAAGATTCTGCGCCGTATAGCAAAACAAGCCGAAGTACTGCAGCATGTACTCGACCGTTCACTGACAGCCGGATGTCGCGAGAGCGCCACAGATGTCTCAAGTTGGCAAATGCCCATCGAGCCTTCTGTATGCGAGCTGACACTTCATTTGTGATGCGTCCACCGGGTAGGATATAACTACGCAGATAACAAAACTTGTCCACTTGCTCTATTACTTCCCCATATAGAGTGAGGCTGGGTGCTGAATCAGCCGTCTTGTGGCGTCCCGAACATGGCTACACTGGCACTTGAAATATCTAGAAAGGCTTCCAACTCACCTGGATCTTCGCTTAGCAGCACAATGTCGTCTGCATACTCCAGATCAGACAGTCTGCCACCGCTATCCTCTCACGAGGATAGGCCTGTTTCAAAAACTAAATTCATGTAAAGTTGAATAGTAACGGAGAGAGAGGACAACTCTCACGAACACCACTTTCTTTCGTGAACTCGGGCGAAAAGGTGCCGTAAGCTCGGACTCGGCTTCGGCTGTTAGGATAAAGGGAAATAAACTTTTCGGGGGTACCCTTCAGGGAAAGGCACTGCCAGAGTTTAGAGCTATTGTCTCAACCGACAGTCGTTTTCAGATCGAGGCAGATTGAGATTGTGGGTCTACAAAAAGAATGGGTGCTCCAGAATTGAGCGCATTGGAGATTTGGTCGATACCGTCTCGATTGGGTCTAAAACCAACCTGATTCTAACATGTGTACTCTTCAGTTGCGTCAGACAATCGACGGATTATGATGCCGGTGAGGTAATGTAGCCTCTGCCTTATCGTGGTGGTGTTTTTGCACCAAACAGCAAGGATGAATAATCGACATCTGGGGCTATAACCGGGTTGTTGGACGACTGGCAGTTCACCTAGAAGAGTTGGCCAAAAACCCTGATTGCAAACTAACCAAGAGAATGCGTACG